CCTTGACCGACGCGCGCTCAACATTGCGGATAAGGGGCAGGATGTGCGGCCGGACGAAGATCACCAGGCACGCGCCGACCAGCTGCTCCGAGCAGAGGAGGTGGTACTCGACCGCGTTGGCGGGGGAGTTGGCCGCGCCGGGATGCTGGCGCACCAGGCGCGTCAGCGCCGACCCCAGAGCCAGCTCCCATACCTTGCGTGTTTGGGGATCGGTGCTGGCGATCTGCCGGGCCGACAGGGGGACGATCTCCTGGAAGGAGAAAGCCGCAATGTCGGGAATGACTGCCGACAGACCGGGGAAGTGGCATGCACATGTGTGAGTGGAGGCCGGGACGAAGTGAGACGAGAGGGAAAAAAAAAAGGGGAAATGGAGGCACGTGGCCGGGATGCGTGGCGGCACGGGCGACCGGGCAGGCGGGAGGACGAGGGGGGATGGAGGCCGGCAGAGCTCTCCAGGGGCGCACCGTCGAAGAACTGCGGCATCTGTACCCAGTGATCCAGCGCGATAGAGGGGTTGAAGGGCCGCCCATTGACGTTCCATGATCCGCACACAATGTGAAAGGAGTGTCGCTCGCGGAAGCGCAGGAGTCTGAGGCCGAGTGAGCATGCGTCTGTCTGTGTGGTGTGGCGTGCATGTGGACAGGGGAGCGGAGAGAAGATAGAGGGAGAGAGAGATAAAAAGAAGGGGGGGGGGAGGGGAAAGGGAAGGAAATGCCAGGGAGGCCGGGGAAGGGCGTACTGGTGGTGAAGCTTCGGCCGGATGGCCTCGGAGAAGGCCGTGCGCAGCAGCCGGTGATCGGCCTGGCGGCTGAGCCGGGGCCCGGCCTGGCCGTCGTCACACGACCGAACCGCGGAGATCCAGCGCCCGAGCAGGAAGTCGGTGGCCGTCTGGCGCGAGTCATCGAGGAACTGGTTGTTTACATATCGGCCGACGTTCTTGATGACATCGTCCAGGAGACCTGGGCCAGGGCCCGGGGATGGGGCGGGGGGGGGGGAGGGGTGGGGGGGGGGGGGGGGGGGGGGGGGGGGGGGGGGGGGGGGGGGGGGGGGGGGGGGGGGGATACGGGGGGGGGGGGGGGGGGGGGGGGGGGGGGGGGGGGGGGGAGCGGAAAGCCGGTCCAGCGGGTGTCAGAAGATGGCCGGATGTGCCCGGGCAAAAGGAAGCCAGCGAGAGTCCGCCATGTCGGCCGCCCTGGCCGCGCACGTACGCACCGGAGAAAGTTTGCTTGCCGGTCTTGGTGACACTGGACCGCAGGGCCCCGGTGCCGGCGTAGGACTTGGAGATCTGGTCGCCGGCCACATACCACAAGTTCGACAGCAGGGTGTCGATGGTGGACCAGTAGGCGGTGGCCAGGCGCGGGTCGGTGGCCGGGGCGTCGGCATGCGTGTCATCGCGGCCCGGGCCCAGGCGCAGGTTGGGCATGGAGGGCGAGGGGTCGGGCCCGGCAAGGCCATCGGCCGAGCTGGTGCGGGCCAGGCCGCCCGACGCGGGCAGCACAAGATTCGGCGTGGAGGGCGAGTAGCCGAGCCCGCCGGCGTCGCCGGCCACCAGAGACCCGAACACCTCGGCGAAGGCGGTGCCCAGGTATGCGCGCAGGGCGTGCGTGCCGATGGCCCGCTGGGCGGCATTCGTGCGATCGAGGCAGTCGACGCAGTTGACCCGGAAGATGCCCTGCTGGCGGGCGCGCACCTCGGCCCCGGCCCCGGGCCCGGGCGGTGTATCGGCCGGGGGGGTCCCGGGGCTGGCCGCGCGCCGGGGCACCGGCATGGCATTCACCGTGTGCAGCATCCCCATGTCCGGGATGGTGTCGCCAAGTCGGGCCACCAGCTTGCGCAGGGCCAGCCCGGCCGAGGACTGGGCGTCCGACGGGCTGGCATGATTGCCGGCCGCGTCGCCACCGGCCCCGGAGAAGGCGCGCGTTTCATTATGCAGGTCGTAGTGGAAGAAGGGCACCTGGTAGGGCATGTGTTTGAGGGCGCTGGAAGGGGCGGCGGCCGGGAAGGGGGGGGGCATGGCCATCGGGGGGTTAGATGGGCAGGGCCATCGTGCACACGGGGCGGGGGAGGCGCGCGGG